GTGAGAGGGACAATCTAACATGGATCTTGGGCTTTACTCTCCATACCATTATCCAACTATTTCCATTCTCTCTCACTCAAAATCCATAAATCCCTTATAAATCCATTTCATTCATTTCGCACTCACATACACACAAATACGTACATACCCACACACACACTTGGGAGTTTTTCTTCACTTCTCGCATTCATCATCATACATGCATAAACACACACATGGACCTAACCGTGCTTGACAGGAAACTAGCCGTCCTTGGATGCCTCTACCAGACCGAATCCTGGTGCCAAAACTACAATCAATTGGACTTGCAACCCACCATTGACCGTCGGCCCCAACTTCTACCTTTTGCTCCATTTCTAAAATCTCACTGTCAATCTAACAGTAACTTCCGAAAACCCAATAACTCGTGTTAACCTCCCAAAAAGAGAAAACCAGAGGTTATTTTCTTACACAGTCCTTTTGGACTTACAAACTTTTAAGTGATTTTCCTTTTTTTTTTCTAAATATTTTTTGGCTTCAATTGCAGCTTGAAGCTGAAGATGACACAAAGGGAAAGAGTACTACTGAAGAAGAAGAACAAGAATCGGGAGAGAAGAAATCAGAGATCACATCTAAAACCGAAGAGGCATTTTAGCTCCAAGGTCAAAAAGCCCGATTACATCCATGTCTGGGCTCGTCGGGGCCAGGCCACTGACAGCCACAGCCTAGCTGAAAGAGTATGTGTCCTCCCAAAAGATATAATAATAATAATATTTAGTTGTTGCTAGGCAATTTGGTGTATCATTGTCTTTGATGAATGCTTTGTGTGATTAGATTAGTCGTCTCATGCCTTTTTGCAGGCGCGAAGGGAGAAAATCAACAAGAAGATGAAGTGTCTGCAATATTTAGTCCTCAGGTGTAATAAAGTTACTGGCAAAGCTAGGATGCTTGATGAGATTATTTACTATGTTCAGTCCTTACAAAAGCAAAGGGAGGTATATTATATTTATGTATATAAATTTCATCCTCTTCATACATCACTTCACCGTATGACTTAATTATTGTAGCTTTGTAGTTCCTCTCGATGAAGCTGGCTACAGTGTACTCCAGGCTTGACTTTTGCATTGATAATAATATCTTCGCAAAAGAGGTAATTTTGTTAACAACAATTCGCATTCTTAAACAATCAGTTAATTCAAACTTGGTATGTTATTTTCTGTTACTAACATATATGACTAACTTGTGTCACAACTTATATTTAATAAATAGATGCCTACATATATTGTCAGTCTACTAGTAGAAGCACAATTTTATGCGCCAAATTCGACGTGTTTGCAGTATAATACAATGCAACAAGGGACCTCAAGCTGCATATTATGTGATATGCCAATCAATCAATTTCAAATTTTATTCCAAAGGTCAAGGCAAGTCCCAAAAGTGTTTCTTGATTCGCCTTTTATCTTCGGACGTAATTTCTTGAACATGCTATTTTTAGCGTTGGGGCACATTTAACAAAAATCATGGATTTTTACGAGGGATAATATCGTGTTTGCAGCAATTGCAGCAGCTGTCAGATTGGGAATCAGATTGGCCCAGCCGATTAAATTACTTGTTTCAGAACATCAATGTTGTCGGTTTCTTCATTATTCGCAGGTAAGGTTAGTTGTCCTTAACAAGTGTGTGTGGACCGTATGCTACTAATAATTAAAAGCATATATTCTTACAGTTTTTTGACTTTTCTCTTACAGGCATGATACCCAGTCGTTGAATAAAAGTCTAGGACTAAAAACAATTCATTTCTCCCGTCATGATTTATTGAAATCAAAAGGATTTTAGTAATATTTTTTTCCCATGCACGAGCACGACTTATAGAATATAATTTGTATTTGGTATAAATAATTTGTTCTGACCAGGAAAAATTCATTTGTATCACCTTGTGTATAGGACATAACTTGATGTACCTATTTTGTAAGTAACTATAAAAGAATATAGTATATGTAATTGTTCTGATGTGGATATGAATGTATATGAAAGACCATAAGAGCATAATAGCAAGGTTTGGAATTTGGAGGAGGGCAATACAATTGGGCACTTTAAGCAAGTAGGAACAAGAAAAGCGGGAAATGAAAATGACAAGAGATTGAAAAAGGGATTTAAACATTGGTTGCTAGTAAGTGGTCCATTTTTATGGTGGATTTGCTCAGTCTATTTCTCTCTCTATTTGCATTTTGCATTATTTACTTTTAGATTCGTAGCTCAATTTCATGCAATCAATCCTTATTAAGCGAGTATAATGTTTAGGACCTTGTTTCCGGTTATGTGACTTTGACGACTAGGTAGTGAACGAAGCTCCGAACAACCTTCCTTTGAGAATGACCCGTGTCGGGTAAGTCGGTTACCACATGCCTAAAAATACTACAAACAACGACACATTCCCGAAACGACACGTGTCCACCACAAAAGAATTGAATAAAGAATCGATCAAATCGAGAAAAATCTAAAAACCAATCTGACACAACACATAGTGAAAATCGTATACCGAATAGGACATTCATCGACTTGGAAGACCAACGATATGTAAGCGAGATACATTTGTATCATCACAAATGAAGTCATAAATAAGAATGGGACTTTGACAAGACAGTTCACCCTCCGCAGAGCCGAACAAGTCTCAAGATGTCGAGTCTGTTGGGATCTATGAAGATCTCGTTATGTATAAATCACGAATTCAATAGCAAAACGTAAACCTACACGCATTGGATCTAAAGGTTTGCGTAGAAAACTTACGACTTAAAATTTATGGCGATCTAGCTGATCTTAGGGTTACATGAACAAGATCAGATCAAAAATTGGATATAACGGGTGCAAAATGGATGAAAACAAGCTTGCAATCCTGGGACACTCCGGCGGCGCGTGCGACGTCGTAAGGTGGCAATCTCGGCGGTGTTAGAAAGCGCTCGTCCAGTCGGTCGTCTGGGTATGTTGCACGCCGTGATCGGACCTCCAGTTAGTTCTGTACGATAAAATATATTTCGTCTCGGTTTACCTACAGATCTTCTATTGTATATCTCAAACATCTCTTAATATTGTACCGGTGGAACAATAAGAAGAAGATAAATCTCGAATGGGAACTGAGATAGAGAATGATGGGGGGCGGCCGATTTCACAAGATGTGGATTTTTTCTCTTCCCATGAGCTTAATGATGTATATATAGAGTTACAGTAAGGATCCTTAGGAGATTAGAAGAATGGCGCCTTATTTAATTAAAATACATGGACCAATCAACTTATTTTAATTAATTAAATAATATTAAATGCGTCACCAACATAATATTATTGCACTCCATTTTTCTAGTCCAATTTACAATTGAGACTCCAATAATAATTACTCGATTTATCTTGCCATGTTTAAGACAGGGTTTAGCATAATAATCCTTCATGAACTCACTCCGGGGACATCATCAAACTAACGCACATGGTGACCGTAAATATCCTAACAACACATCCTACATGTAGAAATATTACCCAAGACAGAGGGTCTATTGGCCCAGTTCACTAAGTCTCAAAAGTAATAAGTACTACACATATATGTCTGTTTAATATCTTATGGGTTAAGAGTACGCAGTAATTAACCGAGGCATAGTTTGTTTACGACCATTGGTGTAAAATGAACTGCTCCTCTCTGGGATCTTGTTCAATACATAAATGTACTAGTGCAACTAATCAGCCAAGACAAACTGTACAGTTGACACTACACCCGTTCTGATGGGGTGTTCATGTCCATTTAGGTTGTGAACCATTTATTCTTGTTTCACGAGTAACTGATAGACGACCCACACTATCTAATGCAAAACAACATAACGTAGAACTTGTTTAATCTAACATGTTTCTCATTCATAAAGGGTAAAAGTGTAATATCATCCAAAGTCAAGCTTTCAGTATATAACACTAACAGAGTCATCGTCTGGGTGAATCAAATGCAACATGCCTATACCAATGATTATTTATGACATTTGCTCACTTGCTTGTCGACTCACTTGTTGGTTAACCAATTTACCCCACATGTATTGATTAATGCCTTGATATTTGTGACGATGGTACTTACTAAATATTGTACAAAATTGTTCTACAGTACAGAAAGTACCATGTTGTACTTCACTATAAACAATGTTAGTTTTTTATTCTATACTAAAAATCGGCATAGGCGTTAAGCGCTTCTCAGCCACCTCCGATTTTCATAAATCAGTTGAAAAAACAAGCCAGACGGCTAGGCGCGCCTAGGCGAGCTTGGCAGGCTCTGCGTCGCCTAGGCAGATTTAGGTGCTCCTAGGCGGGCTCATCGGTAATTTTTTATTGTTGTATATTGTTATAAATATAATTACATTATTTTGTTATCATGATTTTTTTATAATATATTAATATTACTGTTTGGACTTAGGTGTGTGTTGATTTATTATATTGAGATAGTTTTATTTTGTAGGTAGTGATAATAAATAAAAAAATAAGGTATTTAATCTTGATTTCTAGGCACCGCCTAAGCGCTCTAGGCGTTATGCGTTGGTCGAGCGCCTAGCAACTTCTAGAACACTGGTTTTTACTGAGAGAGAGAACAACAATAATAAGTGGTATGAATAAATATGAAGGAAATAATATTCCCTGTAACTAATAAAAAAATGACCGAACCTTTATTCTGTTCGGAAATTACATATAAAATATTTTCCCACTGTTTGTGAAATTTCATTTCCAGTCTTGTTGCGTTAACTTTTTTGGTGGGCAATGTCTTGGTGATACAAAAAGGGCCCCTCATTGTTTATGTAACCCCGTTGGAGTTAAGCCATATTCAACCGAAAAATGTCTTCAACAAGCAATAACACTCGACCTGAGTCCTCCGATACTGAAAACAACCCTAATGTAGCTCAAACAATAGACTATACGATATTATTCCAAAACTCGAATTTTTTAAAAAGGATTATCCAATTTGCTGAAGCAAACTTTGTCTTCACCCTCAACAATCCCTAAAACACCTACTAAAAAAGACGTAAATCCAGCCTAAAACAAAGGAAAGGGGTCAGCTTAATCGCAACCCTCACACTCCCAAGATAGGCGACCTAAAAACCAAAAAGAGGTTGTGATTGCCCGTGCCCGTAGAGAAGTCAGAGAAAGTAAGTCTGAAGACAATATTGATACCAGGTCTGCTACCCCCCTCAGTGTTCCATCCCTAGGGAATAGGCAAACAAAACCCGATTTGAGGAAAAAAAAATCTGCAAGAGTCAGACTGTGGCAGGAGACACTGTCGAACTAACCTCCATGAAAAAGAAAATAGTCAAATTGTAAGTACGGCAGATAGGGCTGAGCACGGGTCGGTTCGGTTCGGAGATCCAGAAATCTCCGGAACCGAACCGAACTTCGGAGATTTGAAAAACTGGATCTCCGGAACCGAACCGGTCCTAACAAA